CTGGCTCGGACTATCACGGGAACCTCCTTCTGAATCGCTTACTTTGACCGACCGACGGGACAGTGATAGATTTCGATCGGAATAGTTGTTATAATTCTGTGGTCCGTGAGCGAAAAAAATCCGCGACCAGCGTCAATGTGACGGCATTTCATGTGCTAACAACAGATCTTATCGCTTCCCACTGTTCGTAGATTCATGAGGGACTCGGAAGATGAATGTCCGTTGAGTTCCACACGGTCGGATATTCCGAGGGGAGTTTTGTCAAACAGCCCAGGTGGTCGCGGAGCAGCGGTGCCAAAATCAAAAAGTATTATGCGGGAAAAAGCTCCACAGCACAGGAATACCTGGATGGCTGAAGATGAACACCGGCTGAGGATGACAAAAGAAAAATGACTGAATTCGCGGCTGTCCTGTCGACGTTAATCAAGGAATCATTTGGCACCAACGACCAGTATTTGGTATGCGGGCGAGCGGGCGGACAGCCGCAGCCGCACGAGGCGACAAATAGACTGGTTTGTTGTTGTTTCTTCTTCTTGTTGAGAAGGGTCGAGAACCGTGAAGGAAGTCTCTTCAAAGTATCGAATTGCGGCTGCGCCAATGCGGCGGATTCTATGACAGGGGTCACACAAGCAACTAGAGAGGTTGGTTGCTGCTCATTTTGGCTTTGTCTTCCGGGCGATTCGTTCGTCAAAAATCAAATTGTTCGACGATTTCTCTTCCCGATTCCGTTCTGGACTCTGTCGATCGGACGTCTCGCGATCCTTGCAGAATCGGGCACTTTCTCCTTCCGCTATACTCCGTGTCCGGTTTCCGGATCGTACGCAAAGGGGAAGCTCCTGACTTCAATTGACATTCCCAGCAACCGTACCTTTCCCGGAAGGATCAGGGAGCCTTAGCACAGCGGGGCTGGAATCGAAGCTTTGGCACCTCTGGCTGAAAATCCAACGATTTCAGAAACAGAGATCATCGTAAAACGATGATTTGAAGAATGGTCTGGTTCGCACTTAGTCGCCCCTGATGGTGTTTGGGGCTCTGCTAAACGACTCTACAAGGATCGAATCCTTGAGGAGCAAAATACACCAGCAGCTACCCCTCAGACCAATGGCAGCTTTCTGCGCAACGCTGTTACACAGCTCCTGAAAGCGATGGCAGCCGAGTGAAAAGTTTGCCGAGTGCATAAGATCATGACCAGCTTCCATACCGAATTGGTGGAGAATTTTCCGGAAAATTATCGCTCCGTTTCAGGACCTTAGAGGGGAAGACGGATCTTTTTTCGTATCCGACGGCGAGAAATAGTCGATGACCGTTGATGGATAATAAGTCGCATTCGCCAACAGACGTCATTATCTAATCAGGCCGTCCTACGTGTAGTCGTATGGATGCGCACGGAAGTTTTTGTTTTGCATCTGTGTGCATCCGATTCGTCGCTATTATAAACTTGGATACATTCGTCGATAAAAAGCCTTCAATATAAGCGGAGCTCCTCTGCTGAAGATGAACACGATCGACAGTCAATCAATCGCCTTCAACTCCTGGCGGCGCTGGAGCCGGAGCTCCTGGTGGTATTCGTTAATCGAAACGAGCTCGACATGCAAAAACACGACAAGAAAACCTCGGGAGTGATTCGATTCCTGCACCCCATGACGCTCCTGATGACGGAACTGCTCGTATGATCCATGTACACATGTATGTGCAACAGGTGTCCGTGGTGCCAAAAATGAGGCAAGAAAAAAAAGAATCAGCCGAGCTCCGCAACGAGCGATTAAAGCGAAAAATTCCTTTTTTTATCGTTTCGGTTGACGCGTGATAATCGCCAGCTGAATGGGACAGAATCATTTTCGCCAAATTATCGAGGAAAGCCGCTGGCGATCGATCCCAACCACCAAGGCATCTTGAAGCCTGTGAAGTTTGAGGACCGAAGAAGAATTCTCTCAGGAGTGTCCGAGATCAGGCGGGCTCGCTCGTGGCGAAGCGGGCGCTCGATGCCGGCTCCTTCTCCGGATCCTCTGACTCGTACGTGACGGATTTTCCTTAAGGAACGCACCGCATGGCGGTCGTTGCCGGAGGAGCCATCCTAATAGAACTCCCCCACAACGAACAACGTTAGAATGGTTGGGCGAGCGAATCGATGAGTTCCAGAAATCAGAGGAAGTCCATACATGGGCACTGAGTCGCGTGGCGGAAGCGTATCATTGAAAGCTTCTCGGAGGACGGAGACGATGAGCATGTAATGCCTTGCGACAGGATTCGTAGAGCTCTCTCACGCTTGGCGAATGGCTGTGGCGCTGCTGTATCGCATACCCTCACGGAATTGGATGCCCGTCCACCATTACCGTAGGAGCCTGATTTTTTGCTTGCAGAAATCGTCCCGCGTGGTTGCTTGCTAAGCTCCGCGCATCGTATAGGACGACCACGTCTATCAGGGGAGCCGCTTCGATTCTCCAAAGAATCATGAACGCAGTGCCCAACTCTCACCGAAAGAGCGATGGACCTGTGCGTAGTTAAGCATTTGTCAGATTGAATGAGATTCCTCCCCGGTGGAAAATGCCGATTCCTGGAAAAGAGGAAGCGGGATGCCACACAATTGGTAGCTCCGGCGGTGGATTTTACAACAATGACAGAGGGGAGGAGAAGCAGACGGAGCAAGACAGCGGGGTCGATGGAAACGAGGGAAGCGTTTGACAAATGCCCAAACACAGTTCGTCGCTGAGTTTTCTTCTGATTTGTACGCTGGGCTGAGATATTCGCAGGAGCACAATCGGCGGAGATTATCCCGAGAAGAACAATCGAAAAGCTTCTGAGGAGGAAATCACTTTTCTCTGCTTCTGGGGTTTCCATTCTGCCTCCTGTTTGAGTCAAATCGATAGCCAGAAGGAATCTCCGGAAGATCAAAGATCCTCGGATCAATTGCGACTTTAGATTTGATTCGCGACCACTCAGAGAATGAACTGATTTCCTTCGGCTGGACTGAAAGACAACCCATCTCTACTGCTGGACCTTTCGAAGTGAAACAGGAAGTCGTAGAGAGCTAATCTCGGGCAGAGCAGGGAATCTCTCGATTTATCCCTGCGTCATAGGGGCATTCTGTTGGGTCAACGATCCGTTCAATTCAATGCAAGTTTTGACATGGGGGCCTCGTACTATGCTCATTCCGCTTTCTAGATCACTTTGGCTTATTGAATCCATATACCCACTCCGATCTCGTTGCCTAATGCTGGATCCACTCGAGGACCCGTTCCGTTGGCAAACTGGGTTCCGGCCGGAGCTCGTCGAGCCCAAATAAAAAGCTTAGCACGCCCCTGGTCATAATCTCTGATGATTGTCTACAACCAACAGGATTGCATTAAATTGGATTTTCGCAAAAATTGGCACCGCTTGATTGGTGAAACCAAAAAAGTGAAGTTTGCGAAGCCAGAACTCTACATGAGAAACTAGAGAAGCCCTTCTCCCTCGTTATTGGAACATAGGAAATGGACGCTGAATGTATCGGGGCTTGAGTGAAGAAAATATGTTGCCGCCCTGATGCCATGTTTGGTTGCCTTGCGCGCGCAAGAGTTTTTTTGCTCGGCGTACGGCACTGCTAATCGTGATCCTCTAAAAAAATAAACAAACGATGCGTCCTGTTGTTCGACATCTTCAGGATGAGGTGATATCGCGGTTTGTGCTCGTATCTGATTGGAGAAAAACAAGTCGTACATTGCGGCATTCTTCCTCGTCTGGGATCAAATCGGTTCTATGATGAATGTGAGATCGGTGTGGATGTGCGGAAAGCAATACGACGACAAAGGTGCCTATGAAAATGAAAAATTGTCAGCCCAGGCGTCAAATAGAATTTCTCAATACATAGTCATTCTCCACGAAGATTTATTTTCCGAGGCGTGACTATTTCTGACTGAGCGAGACGATTCGTATCGACATATATGATCCCGACGAAATGAGACAAACGACACTCAGTTGAAGGACCATCCCGTTCCGAAAAATATGAATTGGCTCTGAGCGTACCGTCGAAATTGAAAACTGAGGGGCTGAAGGTTAAATAATTGAAAGAACCGTGCTGATTGAAAATCGCCTTTTTCGTGAGCTGAAAACTGATCTCTCATCGGAGAATAGTGATTTCCCAGACTTTTAATTCATTTTCCGCGTCGAGCCGAATGTGGGGGGAATCACTCCCATCGAAGTCAGATCAGTGTCGTCGCAGTCGGGGCTCCCGACTGGAACTCATTTTCGATGGAATGTCCGGAATAGGTCTAGCGGGATCTCGCGAGTCCACAGTCTTGCAGTATATGGCGCTCGACTCGAATGTCCGGCATCTCAAAGGGTGTGATGGAATGCATGATCTGCGATATCCAAAGCTCTGCCACAACTGACTCTAGCATCACGGGTGACGGAAAGCGATCTTGCCATCGAAGTTCGCGTCGAGCGCTGAGTCATCATCTGTTCATCTCCGAAATCACGCGAGAACGGTCTCACTTGTTCTTCGGATTGCCATTCGGATTGCGTGTTCGCACCTACATCGTAGCCTGCAGATGGGTCCAGGGATAATTCGCGGCGTGTCGCACCACGGTTCCCTCGATGAGCGAAATCGCCCTCGCGGAACTTATCGAGTATCTTTCAAGACCGATGCTCCGAATACCGCAATTTGAAGCGCGCGCTGCGGCCGCCGTCGCCGTAGCGAACCGTTGTCGAAACCATACGGAATGGAGGCAAGACAAACGGATTCTTCTGTGGTTGCGGGGCTAACGGGCTTTCTTCTCTAACGGATTCTCGGTGGGCAAGGGGCCGAACGCGGCTGGCAAGGGAACACCATCGACAGAGCCACCAGTCCAGACTTCGGTACCGCTGTGTGGAGTCGACGCGGAGCGGTGTTCATCAGTGCGTCGCGCGGCGGAGAAATTCCGCCACATTTGACTGTGTTCGTGTTGGTGTCGATCGACTCATGGATAAAGGAATAGGGGAAAAAAGGAGAAACTGTCCTACATGTGTGGCCTGATCAGACAACGATGAGTTTCATGATTACGGCGTGCGTGCCAGCCACAGCGCCTCGGAACGCGCCGAGATCGCGCAAGCCGATCTTCATCGAGCCGGACGATGGAGTTTACGAGGAATGCGTGCCTGGAGCCCAACTCCGACGTGACGAGCACGCTGATTACAATGCGACAGGTTGCCACATCGGATATATTTTCAAGAAGACTCTGCAGTCCTGCATCCGGCCTCAAGGCGAGAACGACAAGAAGCTCGGCGGCGAGTACAAAAGCTATGAAAGACCCGAAGAGACCGAATCCATGATCCTGGACAATGCCCTTTTCGAGCCGAAGCAGCCCCCCGATTCCCTCGGCTCGGGCTCGGATACTTCGAAGATTTCGACTGAGCTCTCGCTCAGCAGTGAATCCACGACCACAGGACCGATGGCGAAGTTCGCACGAACCTCTTCCACTCGCAACACCGCCTCGAACTCTTCGGGTTCGGTTAAGAGCAAAAGTCCATCACATTACGGAATGAGGCCGTCAGGCAGTCCCGAGCTGGACGCGATTGTCAATTCAATCGGGAGCTCTCCCGGGGGCTCGCCGAACTCTCACAATTATTTCTCTGTGAACTCGGACGATTACGAAAGCTCAACGCCGCTTCGGTCCAAGAGCAATCCGGCGACGAACAGACGTCAGATGGTGCCGAACAAGAAGCCAGAAAAATCTGTTTCCCTTCCGCCGAGCGGGAAACTGTGGGGCAAGCCGATCAATGGGGACTGGAAATCCTCTTTGAAGGATCCTTTCCGGAGCAAAAAGAAATTCGTGGCGCCCGCCTTGGAGAAAGTCTATGAGCTTCCTGAGAAGGAAGCTCTGTATGACATTTCGCGAGATCCCGTTCTAAACGACCTTGCCCGGGTGGCTCGAGAAGTGAAACAACAGGCCGCAAAGGACAAGATCAGCCCCGAGGAAACGTATCCCTCGACCGCGTTCGCTTCGCAAGCCTCGATACGGAGCAAGTGCAGCGATGTCAGTAGACGTTTGAACAGCTTCTCGGTCGCGGCGCGATTGTCGCCAATCAACAGATGTGCCTCGAGGAACTACGAGAGTCACTGCATGGACAACGCCATGGCGAGCCTCTCTCTATCCGACAGTTCTGCGGGCTCCCGAAAACAGCTGCTGTCCTCGCTGAGCTCGGAGGGCCAATACAAGGCCGGTGAAATCGATATTCGCGACGACGGAATAATCTACTCGATAGAGAAAGTTCGCAAAAAAGGAAAACGCCCCGTCGAGATGAACCCGGTGCCGCTCTGCGTGCCCGGCATGCAGGGCTTCGTCCCGCCGTATTGCAGGGTGAGCGCGGTCAGAGCGAGGCGAGCGCTGCTCAAACGCCACAACTCGAAAGCGTCTCGGGGCTCGAAAACTTTCTCCGACACGACCTGGGCCAGTTCGGAAGCGCGCCGCAAGCGGAGACTCAAGCCCGCGTGCAAGGGTCAGGACCACTATTGTCGGGATGTGAAAGTCACTCCGTGTGTTTCGACGCTCCGCAAGAAGAAAAATGAATTCGAACGGGCTCGGAAACGGGCGAACGTTGGCGCGAACAAGGGAGCCCGAAAGAAAGCATACGTGTTCAATTGGCTCCTGGTGAACCAGGGGGTGATTGGGAATCCCGCCGACAAAGAGCGCACCCGTAGACTGGTGAGTTCACGTAGGTGCACAGTACTTATCTATTCGGTAAAATCGAATTCTGGTCGCAGCGTTCAGTTCCCGTTCAGCCTCCGTTCAAATCTGCCAGGCCTCTGGGTGGAGTATGGCATCGGCAGAAGTGACACGAAATAGATCGAAAACCTCGCGTTCGATACGCTGCCGTTTACATTGTGTGGAATGAGCTCGGATTGACCGCGGATCAACAGTCTGTGTTTGATCCTGATCGATCGCCGAGACGATGTAGAACGACATTTCTAGTCAAATGTGTTTCTCTAGAGATCTATCTGCCCATGTTCCTTATCTCTCAGCCTGGGCATGTCTGCGGGCCCGAACCGGCGGCGGCGCTGGACACCGCGTGCGGTGGACTGGCAGGACGATAGTCGTTCGGATAACAATCAAGGGGCGCGTTGTCTCTCGCTGGGAATCGACAACGCTCTATCGGATGGAATCCACGAATTTCCGCGGCCGACGTGCTCCTCCCATGCTTTAATCAATCTGAATGATTAGGCTTTTCGTCGGATGGCATGAACCCGATCGAGGGGGGAAACTCGACGTCGAATCCGACGGAAGAAGCAAAGCTCACAGTGGATCGCTTCTTGGCCACAGACGAAAGGAACTCACGTACCGAGGATATTTTCTAGCCCCGACTATCGTTTTGACGTTCAGTCCTCTCTAGAGGGAATGAATACGACATCAGAAGCCCCCCAACGATCCATGACGACCCAAAAGAGCATGCGGAAAGAAAACTTCTCATCCAGCTATCCGATTTCCTACGGTCTCGCGCTGCGACTGCAAGTTGCGCTGAAACAAGAGACGTGTCTCGCCTTCCATGACGACGCTTGACATTGTGAAGGAGTAATCCCGCGATTCTCCGTCGACAGTCGGACTCAGAAAATTTTCCATGAACTTCAATGAGCAGGCGTTGTGCAATCAGCGGACTGAAAGATGTCTTCAGGAAATAACGATATTATTACATGTCTTCTGTTCTATTGTCATCTTTTCTGTAAGCGACAATGCTCTGCGGGGCGACCCGTTATGGAAGCTTCACCGCTAGGCCTCAATCAAAGATTCATTTCTCTGCTGTGAAGGAGGATCGATCTGCCGTGTGACATTGAGAGCGCGATGCCTCCAGGTCGAAAACGATCCAATCCTAGCGCAGGCATACCTGCTTCGCGATTCCCCCATGCAGGCAACGCGACTAGTCTATCGCGAATCTCAACATACGAGGGAAGGTTTCGAGGAGCGAGTGCAGAACTTTCGCTTTTCTTCCGCGGCAGCATGGCAATCGATGTTCTTCTTCTATTCCGATTTTACTTTTCTGTGGGAGTGGCTCCAGCCGGGGCGTGCCCGGTGTCCAGATTAGATTAGATCGTAGATTGAGTTTTCTCAGCGGGACCTGCGTTTAGAAATTCCCGACCTGCTCTCACCTCAAACGGTGTTCGATACGCGATGCTGGAACAGCAAACGAGTCACGAGTGCGGATCAAGGTGCCGATGTTTCACTGAAGCCCGATGGAGACAACCACTCCTGTCGTTCGGGAGAGCGCAAATCAAAGGCGAAAACGAGCAACCGCAGAAAGAACCTTGCAGTCCAAATCGTCCCGCTGCTACGTCGGACAATGCTCACTTGAGCTTTCCCCACTTTACTCCAGAAGAAGAACGCTTCTTTCAATGGACCGACTAGATGCCCCCCTCAGACCCTGGTTCGACGGATCTAAGTGGACAGTTTTCAGTTTCTTTCGTGTCTGATGAGCACATCTCGGTTTCTGGTTTCGGACCGGTCCATGCTTCGCCGTACGTTGCGTCGGTCATCGTGTTTGAATATTCCTGGTGGAAGTGCGCTTTGAATTGCTTGCCTCGGGTGGTCAAGTTCACCTAAGGACGGGGCTTCCCACGCGAAGTCATCGAATTACGGTATTCTTCCGCTTGGGCACCCTCATCCACGCTTAAGCGTAGAGGCACCGACCTTGATGGTGTTTCATGGTTCTCGCCCCCCGATAGACAAAACAGAGCATGTCGCTTACATGGTATGCTCTGTGACTTTTCCGGTCGTTTTTTCCCCGGTCGCCGGATGTTCGACCTAGTTCATACGACACCGAGTTGGCGCAACGCCGGACGTGTTGCCAGGTCGACAGACCGAACTGAAACCTGTGAATGCGGTGAGTTCCACTCCCGCATGGGCTATGAGCGGCACTCCGGTGGAAATAAGCATCACGCCATCCATCTATCGCTCGACTCAATTCGCTATGTAACGCTACAATAGCACTCATCTGAGCGACTCTGGATGAGTTCAGAGGATGTCGTTTCGACTTCGAGGAGAAATGCTCTGGAATTCTCGGGGGATCCATCGGAAGTAGCCACGACTCGCGGCTCTCTGCTACACGGGGCCACCCTGACGATCCGATGTATAAATAGTTTCACCGAAACATTACAGATAGTGAACCCCTGTGACAAAACGCTGCTCGATTAATCGCTCGCGTGACAAGCGCAAAACTCGCGGCGGATGAGATCCTCGCGCGTGCGTGAGAAGATCACCGTTGGGCCTCTCGAACAGCGCGCTGATAATTACTTTCACTTAGACAATTAGCTTAACAATTAAGTGTCGGATTCCTGTCATGACGCGAAAACTCCGCTCCGGAATCGCAGGCGACTTCTACCCCGATGCTGGTCTGCAGAAACACACGGCGCCATCGGGGAGACATTAGGAGAATCCGAGAAAACTTCTTTCAGAGAAACGGACGTCCCTAATGGAGAAAACGCGACATCCTCCGGAGCGATCGTAGAAAATTCGCAGTTTCCAGATCGAATTATTCCGGAGGTTTGGACCGAGAAAAGAGAGCTGCGCTGTGCGACACTTTCTCCGCGAAACTGAAGTCGCTAGATGGTATTGTTTCCAGCGGTAGGGTCACACAAGTGCTTCCTCTTGTTCTCACTCACTTCTCTTGTTCTTCTGTTTTTCCCTAAATAATCCGACGGCAGTTTACACGGACCGAGCTCGAAATGACTCGACGCTCCGACGGGTAGCCGACTGCGGCTGACAGAAGCTTCGGCTCTCCGGCAGTGATACACGCTCTGGTAAGCCCAACGGACACTGGCAGACTACTGATGATGGGTGGCGTTTAAACAAGTCCGTGACGTTGACCGATGATCGGTGTCAGAATCCGCGTCGGCTCGCTTATTGATCCTCCCTCCATGCAAATAAATATGGATGAGCTGCGAAGGAGCGTCGGTGTGCACGTGAAAGTACCTCTTGACCACCATCGATGGCTCTTCGGATGATGACGGCGCTTAGCTCGGTACCGTCGACACAGACAGGGGGGACAATATCGGAACTACCCGTTTTCTCTAGTAGACCGATGCGGTCCTTAAGTTAAATGGTGATTACATTCTATATAGGGTGTGAGCGATTCGCTCCCTCTCTCGTTCTACGTCCGGCGCTAGATCTCGCAGTTATCATCAATCTTAAGCTTACGCGTGTCGTTTATATGTGTATGCGCAAAGATGGTATCAGGCCCTTCACCGGCTGTGTTTCGGTCGACCATGACTAAACGTTCTTCCGTTTCTCCGAATTTCGGGCTTCCATCGACGGGCGACCGGATTCTCGAGTAGTTTTTGCGCGATATTCCGTTCATCCGGCGACAAATAATTCACGTCGAAAAAGTGTCATCGTAAGTTGCCGGACGCGCGAGGCGCAACGGATGACGGTGGTCCGACCATCCGGTCACTCATTGGGCGCATATTTAATTGTCTGTATTCGACTCATCGCGATCGATGTTTTCTGCGTGGATTTGACTTGCGATTTGTTACGATTCGGAAGGGAGAGGCGGGCGAAGAGGCAGAGTGGCGGGAGAAAAAAGCCAGTGAGTGAAGCATATTTTGAGCAAGTGGTAAGGTAATCAGAGAATGTGTACAATCTTTAGGAAGACATTATCGATCGATCAACGCGGTCGGCGAGCGTATCCCCGCGTCTCGATGCGCTAGCATTGCTACACCAGATTTCGACTTCTCTTTCCTCCGAAGATTTTCCAATTCGAAACCGAGAGCTTTTACAACTTAAACAGACGGTTTCTTCAGAGAAAAATGAAAAGCCCCCGATCGATCAGCTCGAAATCGGGATAAATGCTTCATTTTCCGTTAAAGTTTTTCAACGTATTCAGATTGCCCGCTCGGGAGTCGCGTCACGCGTTCTGTTCCTAAGTGAGCTGCTGATTGCAGCTCTCAAAAATCCGTATCAATGGAGTCGCGGCCTGCAGAACGACGGAATGTGCTTGTTTTAGCAATGCTCGACACTGTGCTTCGAATGTTCTCGACCCTTGACCTTCGGAATGAAAAGTCCCGTGTCTCTCTCTCTTGTTTGAATTTGCATGTCGATTAAATATCCGAACGACGCTGCAGAATTCCGCGAGGCGTATGTTCTGGTTCTCGCTCGATCTACAGAAGGCGTAGGCGCTATCGCACAAATCAAACAGACAGGATTTTTCACAGGATTTGACTATAAAAAAAACGATTGAGCTCGCGAACAAACCCGTGCGCACGGAAATAAACTGTGTTGTACCCGCCAACTTGTTCGTGTTGTCAAAAACTGTTGCGACGCGAGAAGTTCCCGCTCGAGCTGAATCAATGAACAGTTTCCTCCGGTATTGTCCGACCACTGACAGGTGTATCATTGCTGTCGTTCTCGTGTTTCTTGTCATTCCAATTTCATATTTTTGCATTCAGAAATCGATGGACCCCAATGGAAATGCGAACTGTCGAACTATTGTCGATGCGATCATTTCGCACATCGTAGGCATCGGGAAGATGACGGTTTTCAAATCTTTCGTTGTGTCCGTCTGACGAGAGGTGGGCAGTAGGAGTAATACGACGCCGATGTGAGTGAATCACTGTCTGGTTGAGTGTTTGCTCTGCTCGCGGAGATGAGCATCTCGCGACCGTCGGCGCGTCGTCTCGCCGTAGATACAATGAGCGACAAACACTGGAAAACACTTGAGC